AGTGAAGTGGTTGTCATGCCGACGGCCGTTGTTGTCACGGGTAACTTCTCAAACAGCATCTTATCAAGATGGCGGAGGATTGTCCTCTCCAGGTGGTGCGAGTAGACGCTCTTTGGCATATTTAGATTGTCACCCGAGTCATTTTACGTGTCTGGACACATTTCGATGGGCTTTGACCCTGAAAACCTGTTTGTTCCTGAATGCATCTCTGTTATGGAGCAACTCCATATCCAGCAGTTACTGATGCATCAACGCTCGGCATTATGGGTGTTCAAGGGTGACTTCCATTTGATTGGAGGGGGACTGCACAGAGGTCACTGCATGCATTATTGTACTCTTTGTTTTACACACCCAGCATCTATTTTTCAGTATCCTGCAGGTGAAAACGGGCCGACACCTGATCTCCTCCACACGGAGTGGTAGAAATACGACACGACCGTGTGACTAACCGCAGATAATGAATGGTGACTTGCAGTTATCTGAAGAGATGTCCTTATGGGGATATAATGATAAAAACCTGCCTCATTATCTCTCTAAATGTAATACAGCAAAACAATGTACAGTCTCTGCTTGTGTATATTCAAAAAACTACTCTAATTGATCTACATCTTCTTATGTGCTTATCAGTCCTAAAAATGCATTTAAATAAATATCACAATACAATATTTTGACGTGGATTGTTTTGTCAATCCTGATATCTGCTTTGTGAAGAACTTGAATTGTTACAGGATGCAGACTTTGCATGTGGAGAAAGGATTCCATGGTCTGATTATTGTTGTGTAGTGAAATGGGATTATGCTGACCCTGCTTAACGTGCATTTCAGAGGACAAAGATCGGTTCATTGCGCGTCAGAATTAAGCCGTAATAACAGTATTAGAGCAGCAGGTTTAGATCCAAAACAATGAGAAATACCACCATCTGGTATGAAAATGTGTTTTTGTTTTCTGCTTTCATTAATTGAGATCAAGGATTAGTTATTTAGACCAAATGGCGACTGCTGACAAGGCCACGTGCCTCACGCAGTGACCGAATTCAAATGTATTCACCTGCTTTGAATGTTGGATCTTTCGTTTCCTCCACCTCCTCGGGCCTCGGACCGCGGTAAGGGCCGTATCGTATAGTTAGAAACTCCTCACGTGGACTTTAACATTGGCACAACACTCTCACCGTGATGACATCATCCATCAGCACCATTGTCATTGCTGAAACGTTTCTCTGATCTCCTGTGTGACACCGTGTGGGATACAGAATATTGCCTCAGCCCTCCAGCAGCGACAGCGCCAGAAACAGAAAAGAATACACCCCCACGTCGTATCCCCCCCCCCCCCCTCAGCCAGACATCATCACACTCTAGCAGGCCGGTAACGTGGAGTACGACCTGCAGCCATCAGGCTAACCCGTTTAAAAAGCCCATACCGCCATCTTTTCACTCAGTTTGTCCCCACTAGGTGATGAGCCCCTCCCTCGGTTTGGCGTAGCCAGTAAGCCCAGCTGAGCTCTAGAGAAACCCTTAGACCTTTGACACCCCCCCTTCTCGACCAGCACACTGCAGTTACTAAATCCACCTTTGCATCAGATCACTGCCAGTAACAATCAGCATACACACAACTTCTCACGTGGCAATCTGACAAACCCAATGTACAGGCCGTCCTGTGGAGAGGGCGGGCTACTCGTACTCCCACCCTGCTCTACCTCCTCGGGAACAACGGTGCTGCAGGTGTTACACAAAGGACTTGAACGTCTAAACAAATCAAAATGACGACGACGCGGCTTCACTTTAACGGAAGGTGTTTAACGGCACCTTGAGCTTTGCCTTCTGCTTCATGCAGGAACGTTCCGTGTTGAATCTACAAATCGGTATTTGGGCACCGATTCCAGAATCTTGGTATTCTGTCCAGCTCCAACGAGCTTGGCGGCGTGTGTGCACGTACTAACTTGTGCTCCTTTATCAGCAAAGCTATATCCACACAGGACACCGACCGAGATTTACTTTGCACAGAAATGATATCCAGGATCACACTAAATGCGATGCTGTCCCGGGCTTTAAATACGATCTGTGGGGCTTCGATGCTGATTTATGGCTGCCATCAGAGCACCCAAGCACAGCCGCGGCCCCGCGGCGCTAACCATAACTGAACTCAACAGAACTCTAACGACGTTCTGCATCCATTCTCCGGTGTTTTCCTCCAGCGTTCACTCACAAAAACAACCCGCAGCAGGAGGACGCCGCCGCCGCCATCCGCCGTACGCCGTGCACGCACTGGAGGCGGAGCAGTGCCGAACGCTACAGAGGCAGGTGCTAACGCGCCGCTAAGAGGAACGCAGTGAAACGGGAGATGCGCATTAATAGAACGCCTCCGAGCGCCATCAGCCCCCGGGTCCACTTGTCTCGCTCCCAATGAGGCTCGCTGACAGCGAGAAACAAACGTCAGACCGCTCAGAGCCAGCTTCCTCAAACTGCCCGTCTAACAGCACGAGGCCGGCCCTCCAGTGCTTGGGGGTCCTTGGGGGGGGTCATACGACGTGAGGGGTGAAGAGCGAGTGACACCTCTCTACAAAAGGGGGGATTGAAAGCTTCAGGGAAGATGGAAAGGTCGTATTATTTCAGACAGCATTTCATGGAGACAGAAAGGAGCTGTCCCTCTCGCACGAGTTGGCGCTGGCGGGACGACGGGATATTTACTGCACTCATTCAGAAAACCGGCTGCCGCCCCTCCATCCGTGGAGAAGATGATCCACACAGAAACCTCCCAATAAAAGGGCAGACGTCCTTGAGCGGGTCAAAGAAGACACGCATGCGATGATACGTCTTCCTCAAGATCACACAGCAGCACCACAGAGTGACTGAAAAGAGCCACCAGACAAATTCAGATTCATCGTGGTGGCAGATGGCGAGCCCGTAAACCTGGTGTCACTTTGGAAGGAACCCAGCATGAAAGCTCATGCTGTGATTTCAGAACCCGAACAGAATAACAACTCAGACGTCCCTGTTTGATCTAAACGGACGAGCGACTTGTTGTCAGAGAGAAACAATGCTTATGGGTTATACATTTATGACACGGGCTGCAACGGGAGAGTGGGTGATATGGTTGGAGGTGATAGATGTAGATGCACAATGTGCCAAATGGGATCTTGCTTGGTGGAGGAGCATTTATTCCAAAGGTGCAGATGAAATAACATCGGACTCGTTTTATTGGATTAGCAAACTCAGCATTGGACGTCTCAAAAAACCTCCCCAAAGACGGCGAAAGAAGCTCGGACGGCACTAAAAGCTTCTGGGAGAATATACTTCTTCTGCGAGATATTTACTTTGTAAAACAGAACGTTGTTTTACTAGAAATGAGGTAAGAAGTGGATGATTTGAGAAGTAGACATACATTCCTTGTGTACGGGAGTGACTGAAAAGCAGAATGATGCTATCGGAGCAGTCTGCTCTGATATGCACATGCATTCAACAATAATCAAAGGCATTGTAACTGAATGCCCACATCTGAAGAATGAACTCCATTTAGGAACAGCTGAGGCAGCAATACCCCCAAAAAAGCACAATTAAGACATTTCCATTAGCTGCTGTAGTAAAAAATGAAATAAGAAAAGACATGAATGCTTATGTGAGGCTAAATGCCCACAGAGCATCTGGATTTAATTTGCATAAAACTAATTTCATGAGATTTCTAATTCTTCTTCCTCAAGTGCATGAATCTCATTGGCTGCTTCTTTGATCTCAATTTAACAAGCCACAAGTCAGAAACTCTTAAAACAGACACGTCCGGCGATACACAAAAACTAAATTAACATAATACTCGGGAATTTGCATCATTATTTTATTTTACAGAGCCATATTCTTTTTATTTCTAATAAATGGAATGTCACGTCAAAGGTTGGCTGTGGCTGAAAGCTGCAATTAAAATGGCATGAAGCAGATCATAAATGAATTAGATCCTGCTTACAGCAGGAATTACATTTGGCCACTTTGTCACCGCCTCGCCTTCGACCACCACGTTTAGTTTAGAGAGGCTGACTTGAGGCCACGCCGGCCGCCGCCCAGTCGCCGGACCAACACGATTAGGTGATTCAAAGCCGGCGGGACGGAGAGTTCCGAGTGGGGGGGGGGGCGAGGAGGGCGACGCTCGCCGGTAGCCACGGCGAAGCACTTCTCCCAGCACTCAGTAAGACTAATGACCTCCCGGTGGAGCGCAGGAGACGCTCCTCTAAAATCACACTTTCCACCGACTGTTTGGCCTTTCGCTTCCGTCCTAAGTACGTTTGTCATCGCAGAAATCATAGATGGAGGAGGAGTATGAATCATGACTGTCTGCCAATCAAATGGCTCATGTAACAACAACAAGACACTGTACTATTTCTTCATTCTACAGAAGAACGTGCACAAACCCTAAACACACATGGCGGATAGTCAAATGCTGAATCATCAGAAAAACATTAACTTTCAACGATTAAACTTGACGGTTATAAACCAACCAAACATCTCTTGATTAATCCCACAACGTGTGTCTTTAAAAAAAAAAAAAAAAAGAAATAGCCCCCAGTGCAGATGCCTCACAATAAGTAGCTCAAAATGGATTTAAACGTAAAGTGCATACCGCCCGTATGCACTTTAAAACAACTCAAGAAGGCAAGAGGCATCAGAAACTAAATATAGAGCTGATTGAGGAGAAGGAAAGGAGCCTCGGAGGCTGAACAACCCAACCGGCTGCAGCCACAATGTACCAGCGTCTCCGCGGCCTGTTGGAGCAGCAACTTAAGCTTTCCAAACAGTTTAGCTCACCGGGCTCAACGCTTCCGGCCGAGCCGAGGTGATAAAACCTCTTTGGTACAGGAACGAGAGGAGCGTCTAAATGCGAACAAGTAAGAACCATCAACAAACGGAGCAATGCAAATGTTTCTTCTCCTGGTCCTTCAAAAGTAAACATGCGACGGGGCCGGTGAGGTCACATACCAGATGACACCAAAAGGAACAAAAAGGACGCTTGCTCCTCACCTGTGTCTGTGCTCGTCATGGCCCCCCTGTCCATGTATGACCACCTGTCCAGAGGTGTGCTTCCCCTCCTTGGGCGAGTCAATATGCGGGATGAGGACGTCCTCCAAGCCCAGGTCGAAGCGCTTGTGCTTGGAATTGTCCGGGAGGAAGAAGAAGGCCCCGAAGCACAAGGTGATGAAGGCACTGAGGATGAGGAGCAGGATGAACTTCTCGGAGAGCCTCAACGTGGCCCTGTGGTGCGGGAAGGACGAGGCGCCGGGCGACAGCGTGGGTATCCTACGCCCCGACAGCGCCAGGAGAGCCGGCGTCTTCATTTTTTGACCGGTGGCTTGAACTTTGCCCGGTGGTGGGGGGGGGGGGGGGGGTCACAAAAGTGCTACAGGTGTCGTTGTAGCGGCATGCACGAGCTGTTCGGCTTTATTATCTCATCCCAGCGTCGAGAAGTTCAGAAACCGGAAGGGGCCGAGGTCCCTCAGTGGAGGAGTGGAAAACGGTCATGACGGTTCTGGGAAGAAGAAAGGGAATTACAGGCAAAGAGTTACAATTAAGTCACAGAAAGACCCCATGAAGCACACATGCCTCCGCTTGTGTTTGTCCCTTCATTCTATACCATTTTCCCAGTTAGTCTTTGCACGTCTTCCTCTCGCCGAACACTTCGACAGCCGACATTATGATCAAATGCATGCTGACAAATCCAGAGCAGGTCACATATCAAAGGGCCCGCGGGAGTATTAGTCACATGCTTTGGTGATTTTAATCACATGCCATGTCAAGAGTAAATACCTCAGACTCTCCCTCTCTCACACACACACACACACACACACACACACACACACACACACACCTATAAAACAGGTAATCCTTTAGCCTGATACAGAAAATGACAACCATATTCTGCAGAGGCTTAAGGCATCAAGGGGCTCTGTGCACATCTCTGAAAGCATCGCCGCCGAACAACTGCGCACTCCGACGTACCTGCAGCCACAATGGAGCCACGGCGGAGCGCCCCCCCCCCTTTTATAACATCGCAGTGCCGCACCGCGCCGCTTTGGAACCACGCACGGATCGTGATGCGTTAAAAGAAAGAAGAAACCCACAGAGATGAAGCGCGAACCGCACAGAATCCTCATCGCGTCCGCCGGCTGTCGACTAGAATGACAATTCGCGGCTGCGTGCAGAGCAGCGCGACGTGCACGCCAAATAAAGCGCACGCACGCAACGTTGTCTTGTGCAGGATTTGCATTTAAACTCTGATCCGTATGGCAAAGATACATGCACCTTTATTTACCCCCCCCCCCCCCCGGACTGCATATGCAGAAAGGGTGCTAATGTGGATGGATGGAAAGGAAGCGAATAGACCCTTTAAAAGCTCGTATTAACGCTCGGGCGGTCGAGCCAGTTAATGACAACATGAACGATATTTATTTTCCATCTGGTAGTTTTCCATCTTGTTTGTGTGGAGGCTCGACGTCCCGGCGTCTCCACGCAGAATACCAAGTTCATCCTCACAGTGGCAGCCTGTGTGAGGTGATTAGCCCGTTCCAAAGGCTACGCGGCTAACGAGCGGCTAACTTCCACAGCTAACGTCGGCTAGGCTAGCAGTAAAAATAAAAAAACAGCGGAAAATAAAATAAACCGACAAAGAGGAGAGAGGAAGAAATGCAAATTTAAAAAAATAACTAAGCACTCCGACGTACGTGTTTTGGCTCGCTGACACTTTAGCTGACCGGCGGGTGGTTAAACGGAGTTGAATTGTAACGTTATGTATAAATAATGTGCTAGCTAGCTAGCTATGCTAGCTAGCTATGCTAGGTAGCTAGCTGTTGCTACCAACTGACAAGGGGCGGTCTCTGGCGCGGAGCGCCGCCGTGCTGCATCACCACCTTTTTCTCATCTGCTCGGCCGAAAAAAACCCCAAACCCGGTCAGGGCTCCCGATCCTCCTCGCTGGAAGATGTCGCGGGCGCGGGCGTCCTCATGTCCACGGGGTGTCCGAGCGCCGTCGGTCAACGCGCTGCAATCCGGTGGTGGTGAAGCCGTTTCGCCGCCTCGCTCAGAGCCACATCGCGCTACAGCTCCGGCGGACGTTGAAGCGGAGGAGGAGGAGGAGGAGGAGGGGTGGTGGTGGTGGAGGAGGAGGAAGAGGAGAAGGAGGAGGAGGGGTGGAGGCTGTTGATGACTGGCCGCTCCGAGGGACTGCAGCGACGGACTGGCCGACCGCTGCTGCGAGATCCAGCATCTACTACCCGGCCTTGCGCGAGTTAGGGACCGTCTGACAATTTAGTTTGGGGGGGAAAACAACGCTGTTTATTATTATTATTTATCTATAATAAAGCAACGTTATAAAGGGCACAGACCCACCTGCCGTGGGATGAGATGACCTTCTCCCTTAATTGGTGATAGAATACATTACAGTGGAAGGCAGCTGTAAGATACATCATTTCACTTAATTAGCTCAAATTAGTGTCCGTTCCCTGATATCCACATCCTTTAATACGGTAAGAAATAGCCCAGTGCACATTAGTAATACGCAGTTTTGAACCTCTTACTCAGGTAGAAGTATGTAAAATGAAAACCCTTTACTCACTTGTGGGTAATCAGTTAAATGTATATGTGTTGTAATTGTAATAACCATTCATTGAATCAAATCAAGCATAGCAATTATTTGCATTGGGTATTTGTCTGCTGTTTATTTTCCATTACTCAATATAATGTAGTATTTGGTTTCAAACAATTCTATAAATATATTTTCTTTCAACCAACAGAGCCATACCTCGATTATGAAGCCGAATAGAAGAATAAAGTGCCGTGAGAAGAAAATACTCAGGTAATGTACTCAAGCAGGCTGAAGTACTCCGCTTGTCTGAGCGACAATCCTGTGATGAGGCACAACCTGTTCTGTGCAACAATAAAACAGCCCCGCATTAATGAAAGAGGCCTTTGTTGCCCTCACATGGCTAACAAGCACAACATCTCGCACACTTTAAGAGATTTTTATGGAACAACTGAGCACAAAATGATTTCTGGTACTTTCCTCAATCCTCTGAGCTCTAAAGATGACCTCCTTAAGTCACACAGAGAGTAATGAAGAGACTTTGCAAAGTCAACTCTTCCAAGTCCAAAATGTGAGGAAAAGATTGTGCTGCATGTTGTCTATGTTGTGCACTTGGTTGGCTGCCTCCAATCACTATTCAGCCACATAGTAATCACACACGACGGGGGGGTTGAGTCCATGTGGTGCCACGTTTCCACCGGTCCCGCTCGGCGGTTGAATGAGGTCTTCTGTGTCTGTTGAGGATCTTTGTCGATGGTGAGCGATATGCCCGATGACGTCATTGTGTCATGATGCGTTTGCAGGACTCACCAGTCTGTGTTGCAACTGGGCTTAGAACGAGTTACCAGACTACAATGAAAAGATATTATCACATCGCATTCTGAGAAATGATCCAGGGTTTTCAAAGCTTTAACCCTGCTAAAGGACTAAAGGGGGAAACATCTCAACCTCTGCTACTTCGTCCACGATGATTATTTAATTTTTTTACTTTTCGATTTACCTTTAATTAGAATAGTGTCCTCAACCCTGGACCAATTTTGACAAAAAGTTGTCGCCTTTAGTCACTTTAGACACAAGACACATGGGGGAAAATATCCCAGGTGGAAAAAACCCAAGTTACCCTTTTAGCTTTATGACAAAGACACACAATGAGGAAAGCAGGTGCACACACGGCAGCCTTACAGAGCAGCTGACCTTCGGATGCATAGATATAATCCTCAAGCTACAAAAGAACACAACCGGACAAATATCTGGATTCAAAAGAGCATTGAGCTGACGTCTTCGTGGTGTTGTGGCAGCTACAGGTGCAGCTGTCCTCCATCAACTGCAGTGGCTCAATCATACATCAGCGTCTGGATGTGTGCACGGGGCTCTTTCCATGTTTTCGCCGCTGACAGCGAGCGCTCCTCTTCTCTCGGTAGAGACGCCGCTGGGTCCCGAGACAGGTGTCACTTTGCTTTGAGCAGCGTTTCTTCATCCCTCGTGTTCTCTCCTCTGCGCCCCCCCCCCCCCCCACCCCCCGATAAAAAGCTTGCTCTGCTTTCCGCCGCAAGTGAGGGTGTCATTTGTCAGCAACCTCGGCGGTGACACTTCCTGCCGCTGCCCGGATATCTGGCCTGACTTGAGGTGAGGGCCACAAACATGGCTGAACCACGGACCCCTCACAGACGTGACAAAAGGTTGGAGAAGACCCGTCAGCCCGAACCCCACGTGAGCTCTTCTCTCGACAGGAATTCATTTTTGCACAAAGTTCAACCATAAAACGTCCCAGTTTTTCGTTGTTCATTTTTGCTGAGTGTGCGAGAGTCCATCAGCTGGCCCTTGAGCTGCCACCGGCCGCCGGCACGAGTGATTTACAGGACGCCCCCCCCCCCCTCACCCCCCACCCGGTGAGTGAATTAGCAGCGGTGCGACGCGGGATCGCAATCAATGCGAGGAATCGTCCCCACGAGCCCCCCGCCCTCCCCCGCCGCCGCTCGGGGGGTCACGCCTGCGTGGACGCAACAAAGAGCTGAGCAGACACAAAAAGACTGACAGCTTCCAGGGTGATCGTGTTCTTCCTGGGGGAGGATTGTTGTGGGGTCACGAGGCGCCGTATTGGGGGACGTCCACCAGAAGCTGCCTGTCCAACCGGTGCTCCGTGACAGGGGGACCCGGGGGCCACCACGGTCAAAAGGCCTGCGGCCCTTGTGGACGGGCGCCATCTGTGTGTGTCATTTTCTAACAAAACACCTTAAATGCTGAAAGGCGCTGACGTGGAGTGGCTCTGCGATCACACGCCTCGCCGAAATAAAAAAGGAGATGAATGTGAAAAGCGGCAAAGTGCTTCATTAACCGAGGGGCAAAACAGGCTCTTTTCACAGCAGTTTGCCCGTCTGTGTCTGGCGTTCCCACGCCGCCTGCTCGTGTTGCATCATCGGGTTCTTCCGGTTGCTGCTTCTCTGCCCCGAGCCGCTGTGATCGACGACGTCCTCCGGCTCGGGCCAGAGTCGTGTTGGAAAACGATACGCGTCCGGGCGGAGGGCGATGTCACCTTTCCCAGCGTGTTACAGAAGAGGAGCCAGCGTGCGATGCGCTCATCACTATCCGTCAGTGCTGCATGGCCTCACCGGCTGCTAATGGCGCCAGGACAAGTGACACTCCGCCTCTTTCACCACGGGGACTTTCTGCTCACTTTTGCAGAGGCGGATTTAAGTGAATCCTGAGTTTACTTTGCGTCCCCTTAAATGTTCATCATCTCACAGAGTGCAGTCGTTGATGCGGGTGTGAATGAAGAGTCCAGGTTCTCCTGCAGCAAACAGATGTTGTGATGTTGTGACCCACGTGGCTCCTCTGGTCCACACGTCTCATCCTGCTGCTGATCTCGGATTCCATGTTGAATGACTAACAGGCTCGTGTCTTCTGTCTTCACTACCTCAGCAGATCACATGTGAGGGTCCATGAGGAGTTAAAGAGTCTCTGTTCTGAAGTCTGGTCCGAAATATTTTAATTTCAACACATTTCTGTATATAGACGCCATGTAACTGCACGACAAGATTCCCGAAAGAAATGCTGTTTTTTCATATATACACATATACATACATATATATATACATATATATACGTATATATATGTATATACGTGTATACATATATACATATATATATATATATATATATATATATATATATATATATATATATATATGTACATATAATAGAACTTCCAGGAGAAAGATATTAAAGATTAACGCTGAGTAAAAAGGTACTTTCTAATTCTTATTAAACTTTAACATAGCAAATCAAGATTTTTAGGGACAAACATATGAAGAACTTCATGAATCACATCAGGCATCTTTCATGCAAAACATTTTTTTTAGCTCCACAAATCAAAAATATATGAATATTTCACATATATAAAAATACTTGGTGAGATTCACTAAAGAAATCAGACTGACGTCCTTGTTGTTTCCTTGTATGAACTTTGTTAGCTTTACTCTGAGGCTCTTTTGCCTTTGAAGCCTCTGGGCTTCGGCTCGGTCTCGTATCTCTCACGCGTGATCTTCTAACCGGCTTTGAGTCTCCTCCGCTCTGACATCCGAAAGCTGCTAGAAGCTTCTCGTGGAGGTCGAGCGCTTCAGCTTCAGCCGCGCCACGAAAACAGCCTTTCTACTTCATTTAGTCTCACTTCTTTATGTTTGACGGCTTTTAAAGTCTACTTAAAATAGGGTGAAAACTGCCAAACACTAAAGACATCAGCTTCTTCTAAACGGAGGTGAGGCCATTTGTTTTATCCGATAACATTCAGTTGTGTGACTGAGAACATACGAATATAAATTCTTTACCACATAAACATAACTAGATTTGTCGTAGCTTGTGTTCTATCGATACACAATCCTCCGTACATTTACGACTCCACACTGAGCATAAAAGAACCAACGTCCAGATCAAACCTCATCAACAGTGAAGACAAATAACAATAAGTGTTCTTTGTGCAGCCCGTCCTCCACAGAGCATCTCCTCTCACTTCATGCAGACGTAATCTTTTCTTTTTAAACAGTCAACGTTCTTCATCCTGAGCGTCTGCGAAATTCAAAGACAGCGGCGGCTCTTCATCGGCTTTTACCATCTCCAGTGAGCTGGTTACGCTCCAGTTAGAGGCCAGTAAGTATGTTACTGTGCCGCCTGTGGCCTCTGTGTCTGTACTCCGGTTACACAGAGAACAGCGACGACCTGCACGGCGCACAAACACACTCTGCAGGCTCGTTCCCACCACGCGGACACCGTTTGTTAAAGATCCCAGGATGTCCTCGTCCAGAATCAAATAGATCCCAGGATGTCTCCCTACAGAATCACATAGATCCCAGGATGTCCTCCTACAGAATCACATAGATCCCAGGATGTCCTCCTACAGAATCAAATAGATCCCAGGAAGTCCTCCTACAGAATCACATAGATCCCAGGATGTCCTCCTACAGAATCACATAGATCCCAGGATGTCCTCCTACAGAATCAAATAGATCCCAGGATGTCCTCCTACAGAATCACATAGATCCCAGGATGTCCTCGTCCAGAATCAAATAGATCCCAGGATGTCCTCCTACAGAATCACATAGATCCCAGGATGTCCTCACACAGAACTATCAATCAGTTTCTCCACAGGTGTCCCACAAGGTGTCCCCCTCGGCACACTGCTATTTTCTTCTTCTATATATCAGTAATCTTTCATCAGCTCGTCCAGTCGTCCACATCCCAATACATTCAGACAATTTACTCACATGGCAGCAATACCCCGCAAGCTGCAAACTAAATTTAGAATATAACTCCATGGATTGTGTAACAGCGTGAACACGGTTGACAACCAAATGGGTTCAAAACAGCAGGATTGTTGTTTTTAACCCAAAACCAGCACGCTAGTGCTGAGTGGACGTTTTTGTACCCGCTCCGTGTTGTATGTCCTCATAGTATTTGGTAAAGTAGTGTGTCTCCCCTGAATTACACCAGATATTCTTTCTTCTTTTATTACTGTTTGAGTGCTTAAAAAGATGAATGATTTATAACTTTTTCATTTTAATGTTATATTCAAGTTTTCTTTGTAACACCATCCCAAGGTGTACAGATTTAAAAGCCTCTTAGTGGGATATTTTATTAATGTGCACTGTTCCTACCAAATAAGCCAATATAATACAAAATAAATAAATAATACCACTCTTAAGTAAACTCTGGAAGTATAATCAGGAAGAGTAGTCAAAGAATAATGTAATTATATGCACAGTATCTATGTGAATTAAACACATGGGAAACAATGTCTTTACAGACATATAAATACAAATAAGAAGCTTTGCACTCATGTAAACATCCTCTGCATCGCTGCGCTGATCAGCAGCAACACAACGACAACAGGAGGCTTTTGTCACAAAACTTACTCTGCAAACCGGATCGTGTGACATTCATGAATCATTGACACTACGCTCATTTTAACAAATCAAGATGAATTATTAACTCACCACAGAGGGAATCTCCAGCAGGGGACTCTGTAGCCGTGTGTCCATATTCTCTGAGACACTTTTCCCAGAGCGCATTGCAGGTGACCTTCAAGTCTGTGTGTGTGTGTGTGTGAGTTCTTGAGGATGATGGACGTTGTTGCGGTTCAGAGATAAAGCGTCTCCCTCAGAAAGGTGCAGCTCTACCTGCATGTCCGTCATCCCTGAAGAGGACGAGCTTCTTCTGCACTCACATTTCAACACTTCTTTTTGAAGCATCTGCGACATGGTTAGATGAACATTCACCACCAACAGGTCGAAGGCAGAGGAGCGAAGACGTGTCACAGCTCGCTTCTTCAGCTTGAATCGACACTATTATTTCTTCCACAAAAATCAACCTCAGCGTAAGAACATCACATGATGCTGCAATGTGTTTTTAATGATATTTATAATGATCAAGTAGATTACATTTTGTAAACCTCAAAACAATATTTAAAAAAACCCCTCAGTTTTGCGTGAAAATATGTTGCGTCTCTTCCTGCGTCTCAGTGCCATTAAAAGCTCACAACACGTCTGATGCTTTCACACAACCGCTTCATCATCTTCAGCCTGTGTGTGTGTCTGTGTGATGAAGCTGATGAAACATTGTAACTTCCTCCGCAATCGTTTTTTTTTTTTGTAGATCCCAAAGCATCAAACTTTGAAATGAAGAGATCCAACCTTGAGATGTTTCTCTCTTTTTCTCCAACGATGATGCAGAAACCACCTCTCTGCTCCGAGCAGCTTATCGAGTTATTACGAATGAAGATGATTCGCAGGAACAAGGACGGAAAGTTGGTCACGCTCACCGTTGGGGTCAAAGGGGGGCGACCGGTGACTGAAGGAAGAGGCGAGCAGCTCTCTGCTGCCGCCCGGTGGTGCAGAGAGAGAGACGCTAGTTGGTATGAAAACAGTCCTTTTGGGGGGGGGAGATGCGTTCCTTTAATAAAGAAAAGCAGCAGGTGAAGTGTGTAAAAAAGTGTTTATTGACGAACGTCTGAGATGAATGCAAGTGAACTACAGCATAACGTCCATCTTTAATATTCTTTATTAAACTTTCCATCAGCAGCATATAACAAACATTATGTGGCTCTGCTCATGTTATATATAATCATATCAGCTATTAGTAGTGGTTTCATGTTAAATATGGCACGTTTGGTGGGATGTATCATATGGTTAATATTAAAAAGCGCCTTGCAGGAGGCGAGATAGAAACAGAAGCCATGAAGACATTAATAAAGTAATAATAATGAAAGATTGTTATAATGTCAAAGCATCTGTTCTCTTGTATAACAGTCTTCAGTGTGGATTTTTAAGAATAATTATCTTTACATTACAGAATTACAATTGTAAAGCACTAGATCACAAAATATACTTTCCTCGGTATAAAAATGCAAAAGTAATAAAGTTCCACAACTTGCAAATTCTACGTTACTTTCTACACTGAAGACATTAAGAACTGAGTTCAGCCCCTTTCTGAAAATGACAGCAGCTTCCAGGTGCAAAGAACTTAAGAAACATGAACACCGCTGAGAGGTGCAGAAGGATGCAGGAGGTGCAGAAGGCTGGAGGGGGTGCAGAAGGATGCAGGAGCTGCAGAAGGCTGGAGGGGGTGCAGAAGGATGCAGGAGCTGCAGAAGGCTGGAGGGGGTGCAGAAGGATGCAGGAGCTGCAGAAGGCTGGAGGGGGTGCAGAAGGATGTAGGAGCTGCAGAAGGATGCAGGGGGTGCAGAAGGATGTAGGAGCTGCAGAAGGATGCAGGGGGTGCAGAAGGATGCAGGGGGTGCAGAAGGATGCAGGGGGTGCAGAAGGGATGCAGGAGCTGCAGAAGGATGCAGGAGCTGCAGAAGGATGCAGGAGCTGCAGAAGGATGCAGGAGCTGCAGAAGGCTGGAGGGGGTGCAGAAGGATGCAGGAGCTGCAGAAAGGATGCAGGAGCTGCAGAAGGATGCAGGAGCTGCAGAAGGATGCAGGAGCTGCAGAAGGCTGGAAGGAGTGCAGAAGGATGCAGGAGCTGCAGAAGGATGCAGGAGCTGCAGAAGGATGCAGGAGCTGCAGAAGGATGCAGGAGGAACGAATGATCAATATCAATAAGGCCGTCACAAAGAAGTATCATCAAACTGGTGCTGGCAGAAATAACATCCAGTCAACCTGTTCCTGAGGCCCCCAGGTGAAGGTCTCGCCTCCTCGTCTCCTCAGAGCTCGACGGTCCGCAGGTGTCCTCGGGGAGAGACGGCGGCCACCACGCTGGGGGGCAAACACTCGGACCGCTCCGCCGTGCTGCCGCAGCACGACCAGTGAGGCCTCCCGGGGTGTCCCCTGTGCCCGTGACCGCAGCCTTTGAACCCCCCTGCAGAGGGACAAGACGGGACAGACAAGACGGGAGGACAGGTGTGAACAGGAGGACACGGCTTACGGGCAAATAGTTGCAGCTTCAATTATTCAAAACAGCATCAGCCTCTGAGAGGGAGTCATGTGTTCCTCCTCCACGTCTCTGTGGACACGGTGGGTTGGACGGAGAAGGAAATGATGTCTTTTATTGTAATTATGGGACAGAAGAAGCTTCTCAGGGAGAAAATAGAGCCACTTTTGTGAAAATGGCTCCGTGATGAGCCTCCCTCTCGTCCATCAGATCCGTCCTCTCCCCGTGTCCTCTTTGTCCCCGTGGGGACACTGGAGTACCTGGCATGGACCCCGCGCAGCCACAGCGAGCCTCTTTGGATCCTCCGCTGGAGCAGAAGGAGCAGCAGTGGAACGTCCCGCCGTGACGCCTCAACTTCCTCTTCACCTGCAGAGCGAAGGGGGAACCCTGCAGGACGGGACAGGACGGGACGGGACGGACGGGACGGGGACAGTCAGCTGGTTCGCCCGTCTCTTTTACTTGTCAAATATCCCAGCAGGAAAAAGTGACATTCTAATAAATGTAAAGCAGGTAAGTAAATAAAACTGTGATGCAGAGTGAATCTGCCATTAGAAATAAAACATATAAATAATGTTATTTTACATTCATGTTATGATTTATTGTATTTATTATTTCTAATTCGTTTATTTACTTCCTCTGCATGCTGGGAGCTGAGCGTCGTACCTTGACGTGTTGACCTTTGACACAGACCCCCACGGCGTACGGCCCCGGCTCCCCGGCTGCGTACGAGACTCCGTAGGATCCGTCTGCGCCATCGGACACCGTCACCTCCAACGCGCTGAAAGGACGGAGAAGTCCTCAGAGACAGACGCCAAGGACCTGGATCACCTTCCAAAAGACCCCCCCCCCCCCATAGATATAGAGCTGCTGCCTGGCTCAAGGGTCTGTGTGAACTCACCAGTCCTCCTTCTCCTTGTGGACGACGCTGACCAGGACGTGCTCCCCACCGCGCTGCACCTGCTTCCCCGCCGAGTCCCTGCACACCAGGGTGAAGTGGCCCCGCTCGCCCTCCACGCCCCTCTGCAGCCCTGACACAGGGGGGGGGGGGGGGGGAGGAGCCACAGCAGATGCTCGTTGGTGGAGCCGCCTCCACATTCCTTCAGGCCTCTCAGGAATTCTCTCACTTGGAGCAGAAGCCCTCAGGAATGTAAATGACAGTCTGCTCCAGAGACCCCTCCCCCCTCCCCGACGACCCCTCCCACTCCGACGACCCCTCCCCCTCCCCGACGACCCCTCCCCCATCCCCGACGACCCCTCCCCCCTCCCCTGCAGGGTGGTCTCTGGACCTGTTCTAAATAGAGAATACGTGTGTGGAGGCGGGTCTACCTTCTCCTTCCACGGAGCACCTGGCGAGGTCCACCGCCATGGAGTGGATCGCCCCGACCAGCGGGAAGCCCCCCACCTCCCCCGCCGGCTCGCCGGCCACGAAGACGACGCCGCCGCCGTCGTCGGGGGCGATGGTAGCCGGGTGGGGGTCGTAGCCCGTCTCCGCCAGGCCGGTGAGCCTCCTCAGGGTCACTCCCTTGGCGCTGAGGACCTCCACGTCCGAGCCGCGGCTCAGCAGCCGCTCGGCGAAGTCCACGGCGCCGCCCACGTCCAGCAGCGCCTGCTGCAGCTGCGCCTGCTGCAGGTGGAGCTGGCTGCTGTCGGACGGAGTAGTAAGAGAACTTAAACAACAATGATTGAATAACAACATCAGGAAATGAGGCGTTAATAGATAAAAACAAACAGATCAACGGTTTTATTCGTGACGATAATCCACACGGCGCCTTTTCCAACTCAGACGTGATTCGGGTTTCGGGAGCTTTTCTTTAGCCGAGACAACTAGACAACTGTAGCTCCCCATACGGGTGTAGAAGGCGGGTGGTGCCGTACCGGCGTTGGACGTGGAGCTCCTCCAGGCGGTGCTGCAGAGACAGGCAGTGGTCCTCCACCACGCTGGCGTAGGCCCGCGCAAACGCCCTCACCTCATTGGCTGCCGCGTCCACGCGGGCCTGCAGAGCCTCCTGGGAGATCTCCACCTGTAGGAAAGGAAAGGTTCTATTTGGAACACGAGAACATCCTCGTTGTCATGACAGCAGGGTTTGGTTGCTGCGTTGTCCTTCTAATAACGTTGCGTCACCCGGGAGACGTGATGGGTCTTTTTGCGTGGGCCCGACGTAGGCGGAGCAAACAAAAAAACGCTGCACCTTCTGCAGCGACTCCTTCAGCCGCTCCATGCGCGGTCGCAGGCGCGCCGCCACCACCTCCCGGATGCGGCCCCCGTGGAGCTCGACGGCGTCGAGGGCGCGCCGGCAGCCGTGGTCGCGGTGCAGCGCGGCGGCGCACTCCAGGCAGACGGGCAGGTCGCAGGGCGGACAGAAGAGGCGGGGCTCCTGGTCGGGGTGCAGCGAGCAGAGGACCGGGCGGCGCAGGCCGCCGCGGGACTTCAGCTCCTCCAGGCGCGGGACGGGGTGGGACGCCGTGCGCTTCTGACGCCTGCCGAGAGAACGCGGTTAAACAAAAAAAAGAGGGTCCGGTCCAACACGGCGTCTGGTGAAAAGGACCCGAGGCGGAGATCAGGTTACGGCGAGAAAAGAGGATACGACGTGAAGATACGGAACTCACCTCTGAGCGAGAACACGAAGAAGAGCAGAACCAAGTTAGTCTGTTAGTGAAGAAACCGGCCACACGGGACACGTTAGACATACCGGTCATCATTAGTCACCATCATCTTACTGGTTATTACCAGATACACTGCGCCGGACAGTAGAAACAGAATAAAGTAGAGTGGAATGCGCCTGACAGTAGAAATAGAATAAAGTAGAGTGGAATGTGTTGTACCTGTGCGCCTGACAGTAGAAATAGAATAAAGTAGAGTGGAATGGCTGTACCTGTGCGCCTGACAGTAGAAATAGAATAAAGTAGAGTGGAATGTGTTGTACCTGTGCGCCTGACAGTAGAAATAGAATAAAGTAGAGTGGAATGGCTGTACCTGTGCGCCTGACAGTAGAAATAGAATAAAGTAGAGTGGAATGGCTGTACCTGTGCGCCTGACAGTAGAAATAGAATAAAGTAGAGTGGAATGGCTGTACCTGTGCGCCTGACAGTAGAAATAGAATAAAGTAGAGTGGAATGGCTGTACCTGTGCGCCTGACAGTAGAAACAGAATAAAGTAGAGTGGAATGTGCCGTGCCTGTGCGCCTGACAGTAGAAATAGAATAAAGTAGAGTGGAATGCGCCTGACAGTAGAAACAGAATAAAGCAGAGTGGAATGGCTGTACCTGTGCGCCTGACAGTAGAAATAGAATAAAGTAGAGTGGAATGCGCCTGACAGTAGAAATAGAATAAAGTAGACTGGAATGTGACGTGCCTGTGCGCCTGACAGTAGAAATAGAATAAAGTAGAGTGGAATGCGCCTGACAGTAGAAATAGAATAAAGTAGAGTGGAATGTGCCGTGCCTGTGCGCCTGACAGTAGAAATAGAATAAAGCAGAGTGGAATGGCTGTACCTGTGCGCCTGACAGTAGAAATAGAATAAAGTAGAGTGGAATGCGCCTGACAGTAGAAACAGAATAAAGTAGAGTGGAATGTGCCGTGCCTGTGCGCCTGACAGTAGAAATAGAATAAAGTAGAGTGGAATGCGCCTGACAGTAGAAATAGAATAAAGTAGAGTGGAATGGGCTGTACCTGTGCGCCTGATAGTAGAAATAGAATAAAGCAGAGTGGAATGTGCTGTACCTGTGCGCCTGACAGTAGAAATAGAATAAAGCAGAGTGGAATGGCTGTACCTGTGCGCCTGGCAGTAGAAATAGAATAAAGCAGAGTGGAATGGCTGTACCTGTGCGCCTGGCAGTAGAAATAGAATAAAGCAGAGTGGAATGCCTGTACCTGTGCGCCTGGCAGCAGAACGCGCACAGGTTGACGCAGCAGACGTCGCAGCGGCTCTCGGCGCCTCCCTCGCCGCACAGGTCGCATCCCAGCGGGCCGTCCGTCGCCAGGGTCTCCAGGAAGACCTCGTGCAGCGCCAGGTGGTCGGTGCTCAGCCCCCCCGGTCCCGACGCGGGGAGGTCCACCTCGGAGTCGCAGTCGGGGCAGAGCACCGTGACGGTGCCGGCGGGCCGGTCCGCCTCCGCCGCCTCGCTGCGGCCGTCCTCCGGACGCTTGCGCGAGGACACCGCGAAGGGCTCGAGCCGGCCGACGCAGTCCGCGCAGAAGGTGTGCAGGCAGGGGAGGATCTTAGGGTCCCGGAAGAGGCGCGTGCACACGTTGCACACCGCCCTCGGGTTCGGCGGGGATCCGGTTTGCTGCTCCGCGTCCCCTCTCTGCTCGGGCTGAGACATGTTCCCTTTGTGGAGACTTCTGGGTCCGAGGAGGAACCAGAACCAGCAGCTTTCCGCACCGACACAGTTTAACCCCGCCCAGCGCCTCGAAGCCCCCCGGGGGGGAGTGCGCTGCGTTCAGGGCTCCCTGGGACATCCGAGACCCCACTCACAGCCAGACCATGAGGAGGCCTCTCAATCCAAAGACCTCCGGACTCTTCTCTGGTCCGAGTGTCCCCATCTACTGGCAGGACGTGTCTTCAACATGATGGACAGGTTTAAATGTAAACATTCAACGCTCCTACTAGTATTATTAAGCTATTCTCATATTACTTTTACCTATAATAAAAAACCATATCTGCAACGTATTGTTAATCAATCAAATTATATATTTATTTGATTTGATTTGATTTACTGTCCGTTGTTATGAATATGTTGCCTTTTAGTTTTTAGTTTCCCCCTTTGACTTCACACACTTTGAAACAAACCCATCGAGTTCAGAACAACTGATTTATTAATTTGTATTATTATATAAACAGTAGTGTAAATCATAGCTTCACTGTACACGCTTTAATTTAACACATTGTTTTAATTATTACTTCTCTGCAGTTTTTCCACATAGAATTCATGCAATTCATCCTTTTTTACAGTCGCAATAAAATGAATTCAACAAAACAAATCTAGAAACGTTGAAACACATATCTGCGAAAGTAAAAAAGAAATGTTTGGTTCAGTTAAAAACGTCTGTTCCACAACGATGCCCTCCGTAATAAGTGTGAGTGTGTGTGTGCTCAGGTGAGGTGATGAATGCAGAGGACGCTGGTCGTAATGCTCAGGTGCGTTGCTGCCTGCAGGGAGGATGCGGCGCTGAAGGTGAAGTATGTCCTCTCTGTGACCCGATCTGGACCTGCAGAACGAGAGATGTATCTAACGTCATATTATTCAAGCTTTATTCAATTATTGGTTTGGATTTGACCTTCATGACGTATTTGCAAAAACCTACATTTGCCACATGTCAGTGAAATCAAAGGAACGTTTAAACCGTTTCTGTCCCCTTTCAGAGACACTAAAGTCTGAGGAGAACAAAAAGCCTCCACGTCGGCTACCTGCTACGGTGGCCTCAGAGACGGAGATCACCAGCTCGTTTTCAATCCTGCAGCTGTAGGTGTCGCTGACGTTGACGGGCCGCAGCTCGCTGACAACGCGGAACATCCCCACGTTTTCCTCCACGGTGGTGTCTCCGCTCAGGACGCCCCCGTCATCGTCCCGCCACGTCACGTTGGGTTTGGGGAACCACCTGGGCGCCTCAGCAACCAGGACGCCGCCGGAGATTTTAAATGTGGGGGCCGAAAAGGCTGAGAGAACAAAAGCAGAGATATTCCCTTTTTTCATGAAGCTAAATGTGGGATTCCCCGTCGGGGCTAACACGGGGGAACTGGAAAGACGAGCTGTCCTACCTGCAGTCTTCAGGTTGACCGTGAGGGTCCCCCCGCCCCCGGAGGAGCTGATGCTGCAGGTGTACTCCCCCCCGTCGCTCCGCCTCACGCCCCTCAGCAGCAGCGAGGCGTTGCCCGCTGCCAGGGCGCTGGGGAAGAGCTGGGCCCTCCCGGTGAACCGCGGGTCCTGGTCGGCCAGAGAAGGGGCTCCGTCCCGGTACCGGTAGACTGTTAGCCCCGCCTTCTCCCAGGTCACTGACACGTCTCTGAATTTGGCCTCGGGGCTCTTTGTGTCCACGTAGCAGCTGAGGAGCGCGTCGTCGCCGAGGTTGGCGACGGGCGCCATGTTGTTGCTCGTCACCTCGGACAACTGTCCTGTGGGAGCAGGACTCGGTCATCCAGCTTTCATGTGCGCGGCACGTTAATCTTGTCTCCCTCTTGGCGCAATTATGAGATTATTTAAATGGGAGATTTGGTCTATTGGTGCCATCTAGTGGTGAGATGGCAGATTGCAACCGACTAAACGATGTCAAAGCAAAACTATGGGGGAAGGATACGGTATCTTAAGGCTTCATTAGCAGCTACTCTTATTGATATTCTGTTCTTCATGATTGAATATTTGCTTTTAAAACATACAATGAATTGATATTTTCAAAATGATTATGAAATGATATGTTTTAGAGCAGCCGTAATAACTCTTCAACTCTAAAGTTACTGTGTGAAGACATTAATATCTGACTGGAAACTGAACTACATTCAAATGCACATGGAACAGCACACATGAGGCTGCACACACACACAATTTGTGTGTTTAAGACACAGAAAGTATCTTATCCCATCAGGTCTCACGAGGAACCCGTGTGGTCTCACCTGAGAGGGACAAGGCCAAGATGAGGATGATGACTGCCCCGAATAAGACGATGAGGGTAATCATGCTGCAGAGACACGCACACACACACACACACACACACACACACACACACACACACACACACACACACACAGGGAAGTGTGAGGGACAGACGGGCGGCTGACATCAACCTGCAGATCTTTCCAACACTTTGCTGTAGTAAAGTATGTATGTAAAGTGTTACGAGCAAATCTGACTCAGCTCTGCTCTGACAAGCAGCTCTGCAGAGAAAACTCCTATGACGGAAGATATCGTTAATATTACGTTATTATGAGATTGTCGTGTAAAGTTTAGTGGGACCACATAATAAATATGTTTGGACATTATTATTATTATAACATCTGAAATGAAGGCTGAATGTGGTTTAATAATTAACTATACGTTGTGTTTTTTAATGTGAAAAGGAACCATGTCGATATCTGTCAAAAAGGGAAGTAAGAAGTATTATATTGCCCTCTGGAATGTCACGTAGAAGTTTAATGTAAGTTAATATTCATAGCATAGCATAGCATAGCATAGCATAGCATAGCAGAATGCTTCTGAAAGCACCACCGGTCGAAGCACCACCAGCAGAGGACACACTCAAACCTGCAGAAGATGACCTGCCCGATGGTCGCCATGTCCGCCCTCATGAAAAACAGCCGCTCGATCCTGTGGCTGGAGTCAAAGGTCAAGTGCCGCCATTCCTCCCGAACTCCTCCGCAGTGTCGCAGTCCGCTTCCACAGAGCGACTGCGTGCTGCTCCCCCCCAGCAGCTTCAGCCCCACGCCATGGGTAAATATTACCTTTAAGGCGTGTGCTCGTTGGTCGTAGACGTGTCATTGGCTTATTAGAAAGGTGCATGCTACTGATACACAAGATCCTTTGGCTCCAAATCAGCTGTTTGTTTCACAAAATCGCATATAAAGAAAATACACTGTAGAAATATACCGTTGGTGTTAAACGGGTCGGGTTGTTGTATTAACTTGAGAAGATGGTCATGATGCACACAGTGGTGAAAGAATGACAAGTGGGTTTAACGTTACTCAAGGTGGAGTTCCTTTCAATGTGTCGCTGTGGAAACAAGCTAGCAATACCATGATAGTAATGGCTACATCAACAGTAATAACAGTAATGATCATAATAAACGTTTAGGAAATCTGAGCATTTTTCTCATCGATGGCAAAGAGAACTGAAACACGCTGCATCAGCAGGAAAAAACGTGTGAAAAGCCAATTTCCCATAAACCCGCTGCCTTGACATCTGGCTGGATGGGAAATGAATGACTCACTGACATTCATCAGTCTGAGAGTTGAGGTTGATTCACCAGGTTGAACGACCACTCAACAGTCAAACTAAACATAGTAGATGATAAAAGGTGCTGCTGCAAATAGGGCGGCCTCGGCGCCAACGCATCCTGTCTTCTACATGTTAGGGCCGCTTTAATCAAAGGTGTCTAAGCGTCCCCCCACTGGAAGGCCACCGTAGACGTGACCTCATCGAGTTGTGTTCCCTGGTAGGCGCTCCAGAGGGCCCGTCTTCATATTTCATCTAAGGGCACTTTTGCAGCATCTTCTCCCCTGTATTTCACAAAAGGAGCGGCAGCGTGATCACGTCTGGTCTTGATTTCCTTAAACCTCAAAATTACAAAATGAAGAACAACGATTTCTTACCGATAATATTCCAACCGGGAAAATCCTCCTGAGTTATTTGAGAAGTGAAAGGAGACGGCGGAGTCATTGTGAAAGTGCTGCAGGGTGGCACCTCGTGGTTGACCATGGTGTTATATAGGCCCATCGGCAGCTTCTTCAGTCGGTGGACGAGAGAGCGTCACCTGCAGACGGTCTGAGAGGTCGAAGGTTCCTCACCTGGAGCAGCCAGCATGGCCACCCACCCGTGTCACGTACCCCAACGGCTCTTGGAACTGATAACTAGTGCTGTGAGTACGCTCCTGCTGATAGTTCTCCTCTATGTCATGAAGTACATATTCGACATGGATTTCGTTTGCTCGTGCCAACTACACACGGGTATCCATCACAATGGTGTGCTGTACATGCTGATCCCTCCACTCATCCTCACCTGGGTTTCCACCACCATTGAGACTTTTCGCTCTCGGAGCAATAATTCCAGTTGGCAAAAACCTTGTCAAACCCGCTTCCATCGGCACTGGTTGAAGCTGCTGATGAGCTTCTTCATCCTGACCGCTGTGTGGACGATCACCGTTTTGATCGATGGAGATTGGTTCTTCTGCCTGAAGACTAATCAAAACTCCTCTCAGGTGGGAATGCCCTGCAAGAAAGAGCTGAGCAAGGACGACATCCTCATCAGAGCCGCTTATAAGTCAAGATCACTGGTAAGTATCGACTGAAACCACAAACATCCTGCGCTTTGTGTACCTCTGACTCCTCTCAAGTATATAACCTTTTCCCTGTTTTTTTACAGGAATATGGCTTTTGGATAATCCTGGTTCTTGTTGGTCTTTGTATAGTTTATGAACTCTACCGAACGGGAAAGAAGTGGTTGTGGAAATGGAAGCAGTGTTACCCTGCTCGCTACCAGGTGCTTTACGAAGACCTTGTTGAAGAGCAGGTACACAGCAGTTTGATGAAGATGCTGACAGAGATCGCAACAAAGAGGGCGGAGTTCATCTGTGAGCACTCCCTCACTGATATCAAAAACGACCAGAAGTCCCTTACTTCTGAGGACGAGGAAATTCAGAAGGTCTGGACTCAAATTTCTGCCCCAGATTTCTACTCGAGGGAATTGCAGGCTCTCGGCGACGCTTCCCCAGCAGCTCGTGAATGAAGCGAGCCACCGAGGCTGCAATCCCCAATTCTCAAATACATTATCTAAAAACTGTGTTGCGGTGTTTTTTTCTTAAATGTAAATTTAAGTGCGACCTTCCTGGATGTCTTTGAACCTGTCGAGTATTTGTGTTTTAGTCTGGAAAACCACACGGCTGATCGTACATGTTTGGACTGCAGATGGGAGGAAGCACTGCCCCTCCGTCGGGGTTACCGGGTTACAGATGTTTCTGCAGGTTATGCTGTTTTTCCTCTAGCGCCACCATGAGGTTGTCTTTTCTATTTCAATGTGCAGTTCAAATCACGAAATGGATTTTGTGCTTGATATTACTTGAATATCATTTTTCTTCTCCTTTAATTATAATAGTTGTATTGCTTTTTTAAAAATTCAATTGGTAATAATTGGTGACAGTCCTGGCCCTCTATCGCTACCTGCAGGTGAACGACTGTTTGATAATTGTAATCAACTGTTCTCAATATCTACTGTATATATAAAGAATTTCAAAAGGGGCTTATATACATTTATATTATAGAAGAAAGTGTGAAATGAAAAGAAAGCACTTTACGAGTTATGTAGGATCTAATAAAGATAAGTCACGTTTAAAATAAACCAAAAATGTTCTAAAAGAGGGTCAAAGAACTCTACACAGTTTAATATCAGAAGACCATGAGATTTCGGGTTGAGGGGGGGTGGGGGTGGGGGGGGGGGGGGGGGGCAAGGACCAGGAAGAGAACAAACATTTCAGTTTTAAAGACATTTAATATCAGATGCTTTAATGAATCACAACCGCTTGAGCGACGGTAAATAAACACGTTCATCACTTGATCCAGAGGTCTGGTCCTGATCCAGCTCGTTTGGCCCGGCAGGGGGCGAGCGAGTAGCCGAGGCACGCCCACTCGTTGGTCAGCTCCGTGAAGGCCGGCGTGAACTTCAGTCCGCTCCCTAGAACCGGAACAAGAGAGACACAGAGGGGGTCAGGACCAGATGTCAGGATCAGGCTCAGGGTGCAGTTCAGGGTCAAGATCAGGGTCTGGATCAGGATATGGATAAAGATCAGGATCTGGGTCTGGATCAGGATCAGGGTGTGGGTCTGGATCAGGGGGCTTGAAGTAGAGACCCCCGTACACTCACCTGTCAGCAGGCTGTAGAGGATGCAGTAGTTGAGGCCTCCATCCAGACGGCTGGAGAAACCGAGAGAAACGGACTGACTCTGGTGAAACAAATACACACATTGTTATTTTTATTGATAGCGTTCAAACATATGCGACTGTTTCCATGACTGAATTATAACTGCTGCAATGAGTAATTCACTCTACTCCACTCTAGAGACCTACGGCTTTGAAAGAGACGGACAGATTCACGTTTTTTAAGATGATACTATATAAGCTGATACTATATAAGCTGATACTCTATAAGATGATACTTTAATAGGCTGATACTCTATAAGATGATACTCTATAAGCTGATACTCTATAAGATGATACTTTAATAGGCTGATACTCTATAAGCTGATACTTTATAACATAATACTCTATAAGCTGATACTCTATAAACTGATACTTTATAACATAATACTCTATAAGCTGATACTTTATAACATAATACTCTATAAGCTGATACTCTATAAACTGATACTTTATAAGCTAATACTTTAATAGGCTGATACTCTATAAGCTGATACTCTATAAGATGATACTTTAATAGGCTGATACTCTATAAGCTGATACTTTATAACATAATACTCTATAAGCTGATACTCTATAACATGATACTCTATAAGCTGATACTTTATAAGCCAATACTTTAATAGGCTGATACTCTATAAGCTGATACTTTATAACATAATACTCTATAAGCTGATACTCTATAAACTGATACTTTATAACATAATACTCTATAAGCTGATACTCTATAACATGATACTCTATAAGCTGATACTTTATAAGCTGATACTTTAATAGGCTGATACTCTATAAGCTGATACTTTATAAGCTGATACTTTAATAGGCTGATACTCTATAAGCTGATACTTTATAACATAATACTCTATAAACTGAAGTACTCACAGACACACGGCAGCCGCTGGGCACCGTGGTGGGACTCAGCGTGAAGGTCACGTTCTCCGCCTGGAGGCCGTCAGGTGACGAGTGGTTGGCTCTGATGTTCAGGGGGCTGGCGGACACCAGCTGGAGGAAACACGCAGCGTGAATGTGACCACCGGGCATCAGTACCACACACTCACCGAGCGTCAAGGACGGCGTCTCACCGTGTACCCACACTCAGCACAGCTCCCCGAGAGGCTGAAGGATTCGATCGTTCCCACCAGCCTGGAGCTGATTTGTGCACAAGGCAACGCAAAGAGCCTGCAGGAGGAAGGAGGTCGGACACATTCATTAAAACCAAAAAAAGGACGAAGAACAAAGAGCTGCTAGTTGTCAGTCATATTAAGAAATGAATATCGGGTAGCTGTATTTCTGGTGCATATACTTTCTAAATAAAGAGCAGCAGTGGAGGAGATTTGATGGAGTCTGTGTAAATGTAAAAAGGAGAAGAGCCTTTAGTCTCTAAAAACCTTCACAGAGGTCCAGCGTCCACTGCAGGAAACAACAGCTGAGGTCGAGCTTTCAGTGTGACGCTCAGAAGTAAAAACACTTGCCGTTGCGTCCAAAGAAAAAGCCCTTCTGAACCAGATGAGGAACCTACCAGAGGGACCCGCAAAATCCTCGGTAGGGCACAGGGACGGGGACGGCCGACAAAGAGCCCATCAGTCCGACCACCAGAGCGGAGGCCATCAGCAGAGTCCTCATGGTTCCTTCCTCCTGGAGAGCAGCGTTGATGGGAGCTGATGAACTGGAGTCTGCAGATGACCCCCCCCGCTTTATAGGGGACGGTCACGAGGACCAGAGAGGATGCTTGAAATCGCTTTGGTCGAGGTCGTGTCTTGTGCCGATCACAGTGGCCGCTGACCTTTAGGGAGGGAGCTGCTCCCGGTGAGACTGTATCTGTGTTCCTATTAGTAAAACTCTCTGACTGTTATGAGAAAGTACATGCAAGGAATCATGGGATGCGGACGCGGACTGCTGCGCAATCCTGGAAGCGTGAAGTGTGTTTTTTAATGCTGCTCCTCCTTGTGGTTTTCGTGGTTTGAGGAGATGATGAATCTACCCTGAAGCCACTCGTTGGGTTCCATCCCAGAAAAGCAGCCAGTTGCCTCCGTTTCTACGTTTGTTTGTATTTTCTGAAGTCAAACAGTGACGGTTATTTGATGAGAGAGAAATATCTACAGAAAGTGACGAGGATGATCTGCCCCTAGAATTACAAACCCTTTGCTAAGGTCTAATATCTAACATCTGTAGATATGAGACATGAGGCCCCTTTGAAACAAACAGGGGTTTTCTCCCCTTGTCTAACGTCTCTAATCTGCAATGTCATGCTGCCGTCTGCTCACAAAGACAAACCAGTCAGCAGGAAATCAGCAAAGAGCAAAGCAAAAGGAAGAATAAGGACATTTCATGCTTTGTTGGAGGAGAGCGCGGTCATGCGCTTGGTCTTTATCTTTCTTGTAATTTACAATTGGAAACTTGTTACATTTTAAGCAGAAGACTTTAGGTGATTTCTTCGAGACTTGAACATGTCTCGTTGCCTCGTTGCATCTTAAAGGTCCTTTTTTGTGAAAAACAGGTATCATGTACCTTTCACAGTCCTGCAACTTTCACCTGGTCAAAGGTTGTCATGCTGTCAATATGCAAATCACTTTTATTTCATGTAATTTTACACTAATGATAGAATTGTTAGAAATATATTACATTTCTGCATATGAATCACAATAAATCCTACAAACTGGATTTGATAGAAAGTCCTGAAGCCTTCTTGAATGACAAGAAGTGCACCTGCTGTCTCATGCTATGTGTGAAGTGGACTGTATCATAGTAGTTATTGAGGGACATGAGCAGATGTTCATACTAGCTGGCTGCGTTGGTGAATGTGACATATTTATTGAAAACAGCTCAAGTCGCCTTTGTTGCTCTAATAAATGTATTTCAGGATGAAGCTTTTTATTAAAATATACTTTAAAAATAAACCCATATACTAAGAACCTCCATCCATCCATCCATCCATTGTCAAACCGCTTATCCTGCACACAGGGTCACGGGGGGGCTGGAGTCCATCCCAGCCAACTTCAGGCGATAGACGGGGTTCACCCTGGATTGGTCGCCAGCCAATCGCAGGGCAACACAGAGACACACAACCATTCACACTAACATTCACACATCTACGGGCAATTTAAAGTCCCCAATTAACCTGATCCCCAGAGCATGTCTTTGGACTGTGGGAGGAAGCCGGAGAACCCGGAGAGAACCCACGCAGACACGGGGAGAACATGCAGACTCCACACAGAAAGGCCACTGGGCGGAATCGAACCCAGGACCTTCTTGCTGTGAGGCGACAGTGCTAACCACCACGCCACCGTGCCGCCCCTACTAAGAACCTGATATCTGATTTACATGGCCATTATAACACCATTAAAGCCTTTTTGCCAAACCACAATCACACTTTACAGATGATATATTTCAATTATTAAGCCAGTTTCTCACAGATCCATTGCATATTTGTCTTACACGGCAGATCATTCCAGCTGTTTTGTGGGTTCGGGTCAGGTTTTATGTGAGCGCAGTCCTCCTCCACGGTTGAACCTATTCCCCCGTTATCAGGCTGAGCGACATCGCCTTCACGGTACCAGTACCTAAGAGGAGGATAAGACATTTCACAGGAGTGTTCTCTTAAACACTAAAGTGGACAAAATAACATTCAATGAAGCTTAAAGTCTTTCCAGTAAAATAAAAATGAGGAATAACATTTTCTAACCAAGTGAGTTTAGTTATCTGTGTAGTGCACAACAAATATTAGAAGAATTATTAATAATGATAATAGGTGCAGCAATAGTTGTATATGTGTCGATCTTTAAATATTGTTGTGTGTCTTACGCTGCAGTGGAGTTCAGTGGAGTTTCATCAATCCATTTCCAGGTGCCCTCGGTGTCTTTGTCACTCAAACCAATCCAACTATGACGTTGGGTGATGTTTAAAAGGAATTTCTGTTCAGGATGAAAGGATATTTATTTTTCATTTTTAAACCTATTAAGGAAATTTACTGTGATTTATTTTAACAATCTGAATGTATTTGTAATACTAGCTCAATGTTATTTTAATGTCATTATAGTTGAAAATGACTTATCTTCTGGTCTACATCAGAATTGACAAATATAAAGAATATAGGGATGAATACTAATGTAATGAAATTATAAATGCATAACAGAATATAGAGATTAAAAACAATAAAGTGTAGCATATATATAAAAAAAAAGGAGCAGGTGTAGTAAGAGGTGGAAGATGTACTCATATCTTTACTCAAATAAAGGTAAAAGTGCTCCATTCAGAATCACATTCAAACATAATTGTGTAGAATTACCCATTAAAGCTTGTATATTTTATATATAATCAATGAAATTATATTTCATGAGCGTTTATTTGTTCATATAAAGCTGTATTTGAACATCATGCTGTATTGAAGAAGACTTGATGTTCATTGAGGGAATAAATCAAGAGAAAAGTAGAGTCATTTCCTCATAGACTTCTATGGGACCAGAGGAGTCGCCCCCTGCTGGTCACTACAGAGAAGTAGAGTCATTTCCTCATAGACGTCTATGGGAGCAGAGGAGTCGCCCCCTGCTGGTCACTACAGAGAAGTAGAGTCATTTCCTCATAGACGTCTATGGGAGCAGAGGAGTCGCCCCCTGCTGGTCACTACAGAGAAGTAGAGTCATTTCCTCATAGACGTCTATGGGAGCAGAGGAGTCGCCCCCTGCTGGTCACTACAGAGAAGTAGAGTCATTTCCTCATAGACGTCTATGGGAGCAGAGGAGTCGCCCCCTGCTGGTCACTACAGAGAAGTAGAGTCATTTCCTCATAGACGTCTATGGGAGCAGAGGAGTCGCCCCCTGCTGGTCACTACAGAGAAGTAGAGACATTTCCTCATAGACGTCTATGGGAGCAGAGGAGTCGCCCCCTGCTGGTCACTACAGAGAATGCAGCTTTAAGACAAATTGGCTTTGATCTGTTGGCAATGAGCTTCTACCATCTGGGTGAAAAACTGAGCATCTAACCTTTGATATTTTCAATAAAATATAAAAAAGTATCTGTACTTTTTAAATGAGATATGTGCAGAAAGAAAGAAATCAGAAAAGAAATCAGCATTCACAAGTGCAAATAGCCGTCCAATTAGTATACTCCCCAGCTGGAGAAAATCGTCAAACAAATGCAGGATTATGTTATTCGGAATAAACTCATCACTTGCATGCATGCATACAGACAGAATCACTCACCTCGACAGCAAAGGCTATTGCCCAGCTAACTAATGACAGGCCGATACAATAATTAAATGATCTGGACAGTCTTGCTTGACTTTAGTCCTGCATTTGATGTGATAGACCATGATATTATGATTACTATACTTAAAAGTCACATATTTAGCGTCATGGCCCTCTCTTGGATGGTCAGTTATCTTTCTGAGGGATCGCAATATGTCTTTTATAATGGCAGTTTGTCTGACTGTAGATACGTTAGGAGTGCTAAAATGGTAATGTATGCTGACGACACAACGCTGTATAGCAGTGCTTCAACAAACTAAAACTTGCGAACATTTTGAATCAAGACTTGGAGAGTGTCTGATGAAAACTATCCCCGAACATTTCTAAAACTAAAAGTATAGTTTTTGGCTCAAAGAATATGCTGAGGGAAGCCACACAGCTTCATCTGTCTATGTCAGGTTTACCAATACAACAGGTTCAGAGCACCAAACTACCGGGTGTCGTGTTGGACGAACAGTTGTGGTGCCCTTAGCACATTGACGGCATTGTCACCAAAAGGGGAAAGCGCCTAGCGATGACCAGAAAAGTGCTTTGCTTAATTAACACTCTTCTGTCTGTCAGGTGTTGCTGTCACGGTGGTGGAGCACTTCCTGTCTTATTCTGTAGTTTTTCTGCCACTCGTGTCCCCGGGAAACTTCACTTTCTTGTCTGGGCCCTGTCATACCCTGTGATTGTCGGATTGTTTCCAACCTGTGTCCAATCACCTGCACCTGTGTGCCAAGGACTAAAGATGTGTGCCAAGGACTAAAGATGTGTGCCAAGGACTAAAGATGTGAG